TTGAACACAGCATTTATATTCTGAACACTGGAATGAGGTGGGCTTTATCTCCTTATGTCATCTCTAGGTTCCCTACCTTACAGACAGGCAATTGACATAATTCTCCTCATTATTTATTAAATGATGGAATTATACAATTTAATACATGTAATCTGTAGAAATCCAATAAACTCAAAGCAAATTTTTATTAAAAATTGTTTATAAAACACTAAGTCTGAGGAAAATACGTCTTCAGAGGACAGATGATTCAATATCTTAGACAATCAGTTAATATCTTACTCCCTGCTGAGAAAAGAACTGAGGAAACAAATTCTGTCTCCCAGTTCTTCATCTCAGTTACACTTTGGGGATCTTGCAACACCAGGCTTATACTGCAGATAAAATTCCCAAACTGTTTTCTTTGTTGTTTCTTATGCTAAATGTATTCAGGTCTAGCCTCAGCCTCAACAATATGATCAGCTAGTGCACACCCAGTCTCTTGGCTCAATAAGAACAGCAGTTGACATATCTTCTAGTCATATCTAAAATTGCTTTACAGAACAGGAAACTATTATCATGTGATAATGTAAAGACATAGAAATAATTAAGGTGCTTTGTCGCCAGTTTTGTTTTTGATTTTGTTTGGTTTTAAAGACAAGGTCTCTATGTATCTCTGGCTGTCCTTGAACTTACTATATAGACCACTCTGGCCTCTAACTCACAGAGCTCACCTGCCTCTGTCTCACAAGGGCTTGGATTAAGGGTATGAGCCACCAAGCCTAGCTTCTTCCCCATTTTAACAAATGGTATCCCTGGGAGACTGGGAGTACATCGGTGTTGTATCCTCTGTTTGACAGCATGCCATGATTTCCCCACCCTAGACTTCTAACAGTTTTAATCAGAAAGCCTCAAACTCAAAGGAAGGCAAAGAACCTAAGTGAGATTTTCCTTTCAATTTTGTAACAAGGACATTATTAAAAGTTTTCCTCAATTCTGTGTTCCTGTTACTGATTTCACAACTATGTTATCAGTTAAACTTCGTGATGCAAGGCAGTGTAAATGCATAATGTGGCCAGTGAGAAAAGCAGTAGTAGCTCCTGTTGTGGTTGGATGCTGCCGGAAAGTACTGCCACCCTTTAGTGGGATTTTGCTTAGTTATTATAACTATCTCTCTGTAAATGACACTTGGGATTATTTAAGCTTATGTTGTAATCTTTTTAATCCTTAGTGATTTAAATTTCAGGCTAAACACCATAGAGCAAACCAGCACTTACCAGATATGTTTAAAACATGTGGTTTGAGCAAAAGTCTTTTTTGTCTAGGCTCTTCCTGATGAAGACCTGGCATTGCTTTTAGTTAACCAAAGAGATTTGCCCAAAAGTTCATCCCAAATTGTTCACTGAATAAATAAATGCTTTCTCAAGCTGTATCAGATGGTCTATGATACCACCTTTTCTTCAGAATTAATAAAAAATTAGAGCAATGGACATTCATTAATCCAGTTTAGAATTTGAATGACCCTTTCATAAGTGTAAAGCTTTGTGTGTGTGTGTGTTGTGTGTGTGTTGTGTGTGTCTGTGTCTGTGTGTGTGTGTGTGTGTCTGTGTGTCTATGTTTCTCTGTGTGTGAATGCTCACTACATTTCCTAAAATCAAGTAACTCAATATAAATGTACATCTATTTATAGGTATATTTATACACATTTTGACACCTGTGATTACATGTCATAGGCAATGTATTACAGAAGGGAACAGCACTTTTTAAAATGTTACTTGCAGATAAACAAAGCCTATAAGACAAAATCAGTACAAAGATTCTGGCTCCCATGTAGGCAAAACTTCCTGGTCTCAGAAAGTGGCTATCATTTTGATTCACCAAGAGTTATTACATACTAAAGCTATAACTTTGTCACTATGATATTAATAAATGTTACTTGAAGAAAACTGAATCACATTGAGTTTTATTTATGAAAAAAATCTTGGATTTTGTTAAATACAGAAAAGGAAGAAGTCAGATGTCTAAATAGTATAAACAGTGAATGAAAAATATTCTATTTTTCTTGATCAAAAGTGTGTGTTTCCAGCCTATCTTAGACACTCAAAATTTTCTGTTTGTTTTCCTACTCAAGTTTGACTTTTCTATAGACATCATAATTATGTGGTATATAATTGCCAATCCATCATATTTTTCAAGACAGATTTCAAATTTTAAATTATTTCTAATTTTGCTCTTCTTTGATTCATCTGGAACTAAAAATCTCAATAGTCGTTTGCAATCTGTAATCTATAATTCATAGGCTGAGATTGAATATCAAGCCCAATTCAAACTTGGAATCCTAAAACTATTTTTGAAGTGGTACCTCAGCTGAAGTTAGAAGGGTCTTTTTCAGTAAGGAAGAAACGTTTCATTATTCAGTAGGTAATTAAACACTTACACACACTCAAAAACCCACCCATGCCCTAATACCATGTTTTTGAGATACAATCATGTTTATTCTGATCGTTTGAGACTTAGCCTAGCTAATGTATCTAATCAAATATTGATGCATGTCATCTGGACTTAGTTGTCTGGCAAATTCTTCCCGATGCCTTTTTGTTAGCAGAACTATAAAAATAACTTATGTTATTCTACTCAAACAGAGGATTGTTCCGGTCTACTCTGTGGGTGCACATGCTCATGACAAGTCTGATGGTTTATTCAAAATGAATTAACAGAAAGTCATACAAGAATTTTCCTTTAACTTTGTTATTCACAATATCTTTATAATAATCTTTTAATTCTATATATAAAACTATCAAGAATGTATTCACCTATGTTCTGCGGATCTGTCAACTATCAATTTATCTATCATACCATCTATCTGCGTATGTACCAACCTACAAATCATCTGTATAAATATTGAAGGCTCAAGGCCCCATCAACTGTCCACATAGCATTACAAACAAAAATAGATGATGAGAAATTTATAAACGGTGAAAATAGACTTGAATGTCCTTGGAAGAAGCCAAATTCAGAAACATATATATAAATCAAGTGGTAATTATAAAAGTTTGAACATTAACAAATATTTTCAAAAGTCAAGGATGGCATACATCATCCTTTGTCCATCACACCAAGTTGACAGTAGCCTTTTTTGATCTTGTTGAACCATCTTAGAAATAAATGGAGGATGGCTCATCTAACAATTCCATGGAAGGTTCGATTGTATAAACATCATGTTCTTTAAATTGAACTTATTCTCTTGCTTTTCCAGCTTTATCAATCAGGGAAGTCCACAATACATGTAAGTTGACAACATCACATCCTAGCTCAGTGGTTCTCAACCCTCCTAATGCTGTGACCCTTTAATATAGGTCCTCATGTTGTAGTGACATCAAACCATAAATTTATTTTCATTGCTACTTTACAACTATAGTTTCTCTTTACCATTATGAACTGTAATGTAAATGTGATTGCAGATAGAGGTTTGAAGATTGGGCTGCAACTCATAGACTGAGAAGCACTGTTCTAGGTTGTCAGAGACTAGGGTTCTGGCCCTTACATTTTATTACTGGAGTTAGAACAACACCAAGAGAAGGAGACCATGGTGGGGGGGGCGATATTACTGATCCTTACCTCACTTGCAAACAAAATTGATTTCATTATTTATATCTTGGTTTTCTAAATTCTAAATTCTCTACCATTTGGCTTGAAATCATTGCTCTCTCTCTATGTGTGCCTTCCTGCCTGCCTGCCTCCTTCCTTCCTCTTTCCTTTTTAAAATTTTATTTTTAGTTGACAGATGATAATTATATCTATCCTTTCACTTAATTTTTTGGTTAAAATCATCTCTATATTTAAGTACTTTAAAAGTAAAAACATAAAGATAATTTATTCTAGGACATGTGTGTGTAGTTTTTATTTTTAAATCTTCGTAGGCCCAAATTGTTTTAATATACCCAGATGAGTTCCTGAAGAAAGTAGCACATACTGGACGTATTGGAAGTGAACAGTTTTTTTCCTCGTATGAATAGAAGTGGTAAAGGCCATTCAGCTTTGCCACTGTAAGTCCTAATACTGATTTCATGTATGTATTTTTTTACATAATAATGACATTTACCTAAAGAGTAGAATTTTTTAGAAAATATTTAATATTAATAAATATGTACTAATCAATTTCCTTCATCCTTAAATGGAATGATTCTAAAATACAGCAAAATTAGTTGATTTTAAAATGTAAATATTATATATCACCTAAAATGGTAAAAGCAGTTCAAACTCATAACCTAAAATAATTGGTAACTAAAAATCATGTCAAATCATGATTGGGTAACATCACATGTGAAATAATCAGGTTTTTCAGTCTTTCCAGGATTTTGTGGGTTTTTTTTTTAAACATTCAGTGGATTATGTTTGTGACTACTGATTAACCATAGCAATTTTTCATCTAAAAGTGAAAATCTTCAATGTAAAAGTATCTGATTTAAAATTTTATTATTGATTCAATTTGTGCTTTGACAACCTCTTCCATGTATATAATGTGATTACTCTCTCACCTCCCTTTCCTATCTTCCCGCCAGTCCCGCCAAGCTACTATGCTCCCTCTTCATCCTTCCATACACGGGTAAATGTAGTTAATGACTGAAAGGCATGGATGGCAATGAATGAGAAAAGCTGATAATCAGTGAATCTTAATTTGTATATGTTTGAACGTACTGCATTCAATCTATTTAAGTAAAGCATTCTAGGTTGGCACCCCAAACAGCGATCAAATATATCACAAAGTTCAATGATGCTGTTGTTGTAAATTAATTGACACAAAACATGTACTTTGTACTTGCTGTTGTTTAGATAGTAACCAGTCACCAGGGGAAAAGACAAAATAAAGTCACGATTCCACAAGGAAGAGAAGCCAGAGTCAGTCTTTCATAACGACCTTTGGACAAGTAAAACCTCACAGGAAGGTAATCTTGTTCTCATTATCCGAGGAGGCTCAGATTTAGAGCAAAGGGGGTAAAATGAACACATTTTTTTGGCTTTACCTGAAAGACACTCTTCCTGCTTGATTTTTCTTTGGCCCATTCTATATGTGCACCACACAAATCCACGATTTCTACGTTGTGCCTGGTTTTCTGTAAACAGAAACAAAATAGGAATAAAGATCACACACCCTTGAAGAAATGTGTCAGAGAAACAAATGAGCTGACTGAGGTGGAGGTTATACATATGTATGGCATAAAGCTTCCCTTTGTGCTTCCCAGGGGAAACCTAATCTGTGGTGCTCTTACTTGGGATTTTCTAATTTTAATACACTAAAATTAGAAGCATAGCTTTACACATATTTCATTTGGTACAGATAATAAGAAGAATTAATACTTATAGCAATGATTGGACAGAATGTTAAGGAAATAGAAGCTTAAACATCTCCTTTTCTGTCCTGAATAATACTGTTGGTCAGTGAAGGGCATGAAAAAAAAACTTGTTAGACCTAATAGTAAAAGAGAAACCTGAAAATTCATAATGGAATGGGAAAAGGTCTAGTTTTAGTTTTGTGACTTCAGCAAAGTCACTTACAATCATTTTGAGATTAGAACAAATGGATTCGATTTATCTGACTGTATCCTCAAATGTTTGTATTTTTGTATGTTAAAATATTCAAAAGGTACTATTAACTCGCAACAATGAAAAATTCACACATCTCTGACCTCAGCACTCACAAGACAGAGGCAAGCTGATCACTGTGAATGGAAGGCCAGTCTGGTCTACGTAGTCAGATATTGTCCTCAAATAAGAATTTAAAGAGTAAGAGAAAGAAAGAAACAAGAAAAGGAAGAAACAAGGGAAGAAAGGATGGAAGGAAAGAAGGAAGGAAAGAGGTATGGAAGAAAGGAAGGAAGGAAAAAAGAAGGACGGAAGACAAAAGGAAGGAAAGAAGAAAGGAAGGAAGAAAAGAAGAATGATAGAGGGAAGATTCACATTTTAGACTTTAGGAGTATATGAGTAAATTTTATGTAATAAAGTAGATCTATTAAGTAGATTTATTAAGTAGATCATAGCATTTGCTTCTTTTTATACAAAGTACATAAATGCATGTCATTTTGTTTCAGTAAATCCCAATAACCAGCTAATACAAATATTACAATTGTCTAATAATTTCATTTAACTCATAGTAAATAACATGTACATATGTTTAAATTCTCACATCTTCAGGTATTAAAGAAAGAGCAAATTTGGGAAATTTACTATTTGGCAATAAGCACTATATAGAAATGTTTTACAACAGTTTCCGTGTGCTCTGAGCTACTCTGGGTTTCTTTATTAAGAAATTTAATAATTTCCTCACCTTTCTCCTACAGAACAACTTGAACATTTAAGATAGAAATGACATATTTTAGGCAGCTTTCAATGTCATTAACTTTAAGTTAAAACTTGAAATTAGAAATATAAAACTGTTAAAAGATACAGTCTGTTCATAATTGTTGTCTCATAACCAGTATGTCCTATTTCATTGGGCTTTAAAAATATCCAATTGAGGAGTAATAGGATTTTGTTTTGTTTTTATCCCTTTGGTAAAATAGGAGATGTTTGTCTTTCAGCAAATAAAGACTAAAATGTGGTGTGTGTGTGTGTGTGTGTGTGTGTGGTGGATATGTGTGAGTGTGAGTCTATGTGTGACTATGTGAGTGTGTGTGAGTGTGCGTAAGATTGCGTAAATGTGTATGTGTATGTATGTACAATTTTGTGAGTTGTGAGTGTGTGAGTATGAGTTTTTTTGTGTGTGAAAGAGTGTGTGTGAGTTTGTGTGCATGTATGTGTTTCTGTGTGTGTGAGGGAAAAAAAGAGAAAGGGAGAGAGATGGAGGAAAGGAGGGAGAAAGAGAAGGATTGAGGGAGGGAGGCAGAGAAGGAGGGAGGGAAGGGGAGAGAGAATGAGAGAGAGAGAGAGAGAGAGAGAGAGAGAGAGAGAGAGAGAGAGAGAGAGAGAGAGACAGAACCTAGGTGTTCATGCATAATTTTTCTGGAGGAAAAAATCCACCTGGCTGGATAGCAGTCCGCAGCAGGCCTTTTACTTGTATTACTTGTATTCAGTAGGAGCCCTGCGGGAAACCCTTTAAGATCAGCCATGCCCTTGAAAATGATTGCAACCAGTATGTTTCACAGGTTCACTCTGCACTGACATCCAGGCTATTACTACTGTGGATCTCATGAAGAAATAGCAACAGCAAGCAGCTTCCTGTAGAGTTCGTTATATTATATCATACTCAGATCCAACAATAATCATTAAGGGAATAAAACTAAAGCACTTTATTTCCCCATGTAATGCAATGTGGAGGGAGAAGTGGTAGCAGAATTACATTGTATAAGATGCATTTTGCATATATCAAGGATTTTCTTAACTAGCATTTCCCTACAGCTATATCATCAGTTAATCCTTGCAATAGTATGAGGCAGGTATTATTTACTACTATGTTACAGGTTATATGGTATATCAGAATTATCTGGCCTGTAGAAGTTTCCCGAGGCAAATGGCCTAAAGGGGTCTGACTTTGTGTTATTTCATGTATTTTGAGTGTTGTGTCTGAATGTACACCTATGTACCTCTTGCATTCTTGGTGCCTGTGACAAAACAAGGCAGACAGTCCTCCAGAACTGGAGTTATACACGGATCTGAACCACTTTTTGGTGGCTGATAATTGAACTCTGGTCCTTTGGAAGATCAAAAATGAGCTTAAGTGCTGAGCCATCTCTCCAGCCTTAAGAGTCAGAATTTAAATGCAACTAGAGTCACTATCTTCTTTATGCAATGCTAGGGATCAGACCTGGGACCTTGCTCATACATAGACAAGTACTCTACCACAGAGATGTATCCACGACTCTCAAGGTCTGTTCTTAACCACTATACAGCCCTTGACATTAGATTTAACAGTGGAATGATACTCATGATAGAACACTTCCGAATTTGTGGAAAACCGTGGCTTGCTCATTAGACTCCAGGGCTGTCGTTGGTCTTGTTTTTGTCCCTTCTACTGAGCTGATGCTTTTGGAGATCTGTCATCCATTTATCATCTTTATTTACAATACCTACACTGCCTCCCAATCTTCATACAGTGGCTTCTTTGTATCAGCTCTCTGCACTCTTGGTGATCTCTACCCTAATTCTTAATTAACTTCATTTCTACCAGAAAGTAACCCACGTATTTTTATATACTGACTATCACTGTTTTGATCCCTAGAACTAAGTTTCCTCAACTTGGGGCTTGTTTGCCTTTCCCTTCACTGTCTTTTCTGATATATGGAACAGTGCCTGGCACACACTTGCTGTTCAGTGAATATTGACTGAATTCCTGAGTGAAGAAAAATTCCAACATGCACCTATCTTTTCTGCTTTGCAAAAACGTCTTGAGCATCTTTAAATTTTTGGTTTTACATAAATTAAGATTTCTAAATTTTTTTAACAGTAACACAGTCATTTGTGATTTGGGAAAGTGATTACAATAGTTCAATAAATTCATGTAAACCAAGTATGAATTTTATGGAATCATTCTATACCCATTCATTGTGCAGCAATGAATTCAGTATGGCATCTATGCTCGATCCTGAAACTCCAGGGTTACAGGAGGTATTCATTGTTCTTTGAAGAATTTCATTGCTAGGGCTGACATATGAATCACTGAATCACTAGCATACAAAAGGTGCTGGGTTCAATCCCCAGTAACACATGTGTATGCACACACACACACACACATGCATACACACACACACACACACACACACACACACACACACACACACACACGAGGAGGGTAGGCAGAAGCATAGATAGTGACAGAAATTTCCATATTAGGAATGCTTGAAGACTTCCTGGTTTTATATAGAGCCTCTATGATGTTGAAACAGAAGAACTCTATGGGTAAAGAGCAGGAATGCTTCCATATTATTTACATTGTTTGGCTATGCTAATTTCAGAATGTCATGAGCTAAACACTATGGCTGTGTCATCTAGCTCATGATTATCCCAATCCAAATTCCTGTCACTCCCAATCACTTCCCTGTGTTCCTCATGTTGACACAGCTTCCCTGACATTTGTCCTGTACTCCTCATAGTTCCGCTTTTTCATTTTCTCTCCAATCTATGACTTCACTGTGCTTCTTATCAACAGAACTGACCCTACATTCTGTATATATCCTTTCTGTTCCTGACATTCTGATATTACTGAAACAGTTTGTATGAACCTTCTAGTCCCCTAAGACTGTACTGGTTTGACTTCTTTCCATGTGTAATCCCATGTTCTCCATTCAACAGGCACTTCAACCACCCCATAACTGCTTCACACTGGCCCTCTGGTCATTACCTGTCTGTCTAGTAATCTTCTGGAAGAGCAATCCTGATACACAATCAGGAATGTGCACCACAGATAGTGCTTGCCCTTTCTACTGGTCTAGTCTCTTACCAATATTTTCCATATCTAGTTGCCATTTTCTTTTCCCTTTTGTGACAGGTACTTACCTACATCACAATGTGTTTAACCTTTCCAACTCTGCTCCATGGCATGGCTTGCTCCTACTTCCTAAAGGTTGTAGTGCTCACAGACAGGACTCCTAACTCCCATCCTTTCTTATAATAAAAAAAAAACTGCTTTACACTAAGTTCTTCTGTATTTTTGCCATACCTTTGTGAAGCTATTACCAGTCACTTTAACATGCTCATGGAGAAACTCATGCAGGAACTGGCCAAGTACCTCACATAAGGTCGTACATTTAGCAAGTGCCTACGCTGAGATGTTAGTTCATTTTTATCCAGCTTCATGCAGCAAGCTCTTGGCAACACAGTATACATCCTCACCTTAGTCATTCTTTCTTCCTACTAGTCTACTGATTCAAAGTAATGTACCTAATTTATATTTTAAGAGAATGTTAACATTTTCTTATTCTTCTATTCATAAGATTCTAGATATGACTCTGTGAACTGTTTCTATCTGCCTAAAGCCTCATTCCTTGGTATGAGAGTATCCTGTATGTAAGTCAAAAGTTCTTGAAATACAGTTGCCATACAGGGCACTGATGACTCTTAACCCCTGGCCTGCTTGACCTTAGAGCAAGAAATAAATTTCCCTAAGGTGCTTCCCTCCCTA